GCAAGTGCATGACATGTACTGTAATGGCTCCTGCACACGGTAATGCTTGCCGCACGGCGGAAGTCCGCGCGACAGCCAGTCAATATATTGTTTTTCCGTAAGAGCTAGAAAGTTATTACGGAAAGCAACATATTGATTGGCTATCGTACGAACTTCCGCCGCGCGGCGAGCGTTGCCGCGTCCTATGGGCAGGAACCATTACACTTGCACATATTTATGTACCTTTAAATAAAACTTATAACAACAAGACAAGTAATCTCTATTTATTAAAATCATATAGTACATATATATATATATATTTTTTTTTTAACTAATTATTTATTATATTACCTGAATAATATCTGAATAATATAATATAATATAATATAATATAATTATATTACCTGAATAATATATAATATCTTAGAACTAGTTGTTTTTTATTTCTTCCGACATTACATAACGTGTGATTATTATTGACTATATGTAATATTTTCAAGAACTTACATTATACATTTTAAAGGATATACGTGTATATATCTTTATTTATCATTATTATTTGAGCGATAAACTATACATTCGCAGAGTGCGACAATATCTCAATTCATATTTTATGTCCGTCGCGTTTGGTGAGCATAGCTCTTTATTGGTGAGCACAGCTCTTTATCTTTACCGCCAAGTCCCGGTCTAACCGCCGTCACGACAAGATGTGTTCGAACATGTTCGGACCTTGTGATTTTTTTGGATCGTGTCTTGAAAATTTCCAAGACTTTGCTCTCGAATTATATCATTAATCGAAAACTGGCGTTGGGGCATTACTCTTAGAGAGGCCTGTAGCCAAATATTGAAGGAAGGAAGGAAGGATCTTTACCGCCATTTTTCAGGTTATCATCCCGTGCGCCAATCACGTGGAGACCTGCCAATGGCCAGTCTCTGTTTGAGAGTCTCTACGTGAAAATTGGTGTCAGTCAAAACGTATAGCGTGGCCGTTCTCAGGTTTCTCCCTGATTTTATAAAGAAAGCAGATCTTTACAAAGTCGGTTATAAAATCAGCAAACGCAAAGAGAGACTAAAAGTTTTCGCACAATCAACGATTGTATAAAATGGATAAAGACATCATAGTTACCTGTCCGTATAACAAAGCACATCGTATCCGTAAATTTAAATTAATGACCCATCTTATGAAGTGTAAGAAACAACATGATACACAGGACAAAGTACTATGTCCACTGGATAGTGGTCATGTAGTAGATCATAATGCTGTAAAGGTATGTATAAATTTATATGTAAAACTTAACTTCTAGATGTCTTTCTATGTTAGACAGTTACAGTCTTTTGCATGTACAAAAATATTACATTAATACATTTGAAATTAAAAAAAATTTTTATCATTTCACTTGACTAATATCAATTTTGTAATATCTCAATACAGGATCACCTTTCATCTTGTTCAAACCTCTCATACTTGATAGATACAAACAATGTAGAGGAAAAAATAGATGTAGCATCTTCCATGAATGCAGATACATACACTTCAGTTGAAAATTGGAATGATGTATGAATAATATAATAAAAATTTATTTATATAATAGAAAATGTAGGAAAATATAAATTTTTTTTAATATAATTTTTTTAATAGATGCCAGAAGTTCCAACTTATGATGCAATGACAAATGCAGCTTCTAGAAAAGTGATACGATGTGTAAATGGACTGACAAAATCAGAACGGCAAAAATTTAGGATGAATGAACAAGATCGCTTTAAAAAACTTAATGATGTTAATCCTACTTTCGAACGCTCTCGAACTTCGCGAACTAAAGAAATGGTAACATATATTTCATATAAATATATTGATTTTGTATCTTAATAAACAATTATCTTGTTTTATTAAAATTGTATTAATATATTTGTCTTTTAACTATAGATTCGCAAGATGGCAATGCATCCTCTGTATGATATTACAGAGGTTGAAAACAGTATAAAAGTCAGCCAAAAAATACCCAACAAAAGTACACAGGAACAAGATTCTAATGCAAATTCAACTAATGAATTTCGAGATATATTTCAAAAAACATTATATGATGAATTACTTCCTGATTATAAACCTGATGAAAGTTGGAAAGATAGTAAATTCATCATTAATGAAAGTAAACATGTGAAATCTAAAGATTGTGTAAAAATAAATACCCAGCAGAAACTAACAGAATGTTTTTTGGCTGACAATGACACGGTAATATATTTAATAAATATTTATATAATATTTGTATGTAAAGTCTAACTATAAATGAATAATATAAATATGTATTCATGTTTTCTTCTAATTTTAGTCGTACAAGTCTTTTAATGATCCGGGTCCATCTGGAATATCTTTAAAAAGGGAAAGTAGAAAAGAAAAAAGTCTTTTGCTTGTTGATCAAAATCAAGAAGCAAAAAATAAGGAGGAACAAGAAAATGTAACTGAGGGAAGTTCTGTTTTTGATACATTCAGTGTTAATACTTCGAAGAGAGAAATTGAGTGTACTGCGAACACTCATGATGTGAATACTTCGAGTGAACGAGTTACTGATAAGTTGTTAAATTTATTGATGGAAAAGACGGAGAAAATAGAACTTGCAGAAAAAACAAAAGAAAACGATAAAAATAATGAAAAAGATGAGAACGATAAAAATAAAGAAAAAGATAAAAAATATGAAAATAAAAACCCTTGTTTAGTATGGGAAAACATGATATGTAAACTTAGTGATCGATTGGATGATCTAACAAATGCTCAAACCATTGCTGCGGAACAAAGCGCGCTGTTAGCCAAAGAGGTGAGTGATCTCAAGCAGATGAAGAGATGTTGTAACACTCAGTTACCTGGAATGTTGAATTCGCGTTGTGCTGCTAATTTTACTGAACGAGTGTCACCGTTACATCCAACACATACAAAGAATCATAATGTGTCTCAAGAAGCACCTACATCTTTGGGAAATGCACCGAACTCGTACAATGCAAATAGAGATGACGATATATTTAATTTAAGAGATAACAGTAAATTGCCTGAACTTAAAACTCCAAAAGACTTCAGTCACTGTTAAGATATATGTTGTTAAGATTTATCATTAGGATATACTTATGTTTCTAACTAATCGCATATGTTCTATTTTTTTATCAATAATTGAATGTAACTTTGGAATATCTCAAAACGAATCTACTTGTTCCTGGGGAATATTTTTTATAAGAGAAATGCAAATGACTATACATAGAATATTTTAAGTTTAACATGTTAACTATTACAAAGATTACTTATAATTAACATGATATTACCGTATATTATTAATTTACATGTAAAATATAACTATACACTTAACGATGTGTGTAATCGAAAGATAAAAAGTAGCTAACAAATATACATCATAGAAAATGTATATATCAGTATCAACAGTTATGTATTATAAAATGCCATTTACTATAACTTTGTGTATTCAAACTTTAGTTAAAGTTTAGAACAATTCATGAAAATTACTATGGCAAGATTACATCTTACAAGATTTCTTTTCATCTTATAATAATACAGGAAGTCGCAAAGTAGATTTTCAGGCTTTATCAATTTCATTTCTTATTTTATAAGATATGTTTAATTTTATTTCATTTTTTAAGAAATACTGTTTTTGAAGTTAAAAAGTGAGTAAGATAGAAAGTTAATTTTTTAAGGGAAAAATTAATTATTTTTAAGAGAAAATCCAGATTTATTTTGCATAAGTTCAATGTTATTCTCATAATTCAAGAAATCCAATTAGTCTAATACATCAAAGATCTAGATCTACTTGAAGATATGTACTGAAGAAATGCATATAAGATATATATATATATATATAGTATATAAAATATATGTAAAAATACCTCAATATATTTTATATAAATGAATAAAATAAATAAATCTCTCATGATTTTATGTCAATGAAAGAACCTTGATTTTATAATCTTCAATTAGCTCCTTTACGTCATAAAAGATCAAACCCAGACATGTCCTAAAGACATCCTGAGAATGAAGAAATGTCCTTATGACTTCCTTAGGATATACTCTGGATGTTCCCTGGACATCTGTACTGTTAGAGAACATTCCATATTAGATTCTAAACGTGCGAACAAGGAAGAAAATCTAAGTTACAAAAACATAAAATAAGGAACTTAAATTATTAATATTTAATGAAACTTTACAGTGCTCAACTTTAATAATCATATTAAAAGCTAGTTTTTTTATTTGTTATAGAAATATATTATTTGAAAGTTAAAAAGAATGTTCCATTTTGCCATTGAGTCCAACCTAAAAGACGTATTTGTCTGATTCGTTATTGAATTGTACTTTATAATCAAAATTTAACTGTACTATGCCATCATTAATTGCGTTCAGCAGAGAAAGCTGCTTTGCAACTGTTGTAAAATTCGTGAATCTAATTGGAGCATGCTTTCAATTTTGATTGAATCTAAGAGCATATATCAATCAGATTCACGAATTTTACAACAGTTGCAAAGCAGCTTTTTCTGCTGAACGCAACCATTCCCTCGCTCAACGCTGCTCTTTTATAGCTGAGGTTTTGAACTAATAAAAAAGATCGACAGTTTGCAACTAACAGCAATAGCAAGCAAAAATAAGCAGGAACTGGCAGGAACTTAGAGATGGTGCACTTATCGACACTATTCTACTCAAAGAGGAGTGGAAAAACACCGCATTCATATTAACTTTATAATTTATATTAAATTTATAAAAACTTGAGTTTTTTTTTAATACACAATGCACATGAGTTTATCTCCAATACTCTCTTAAGGGAAACATGAATGGAAAATGATAAACATTTTATTTTATATTGTTCATGATACTGCGATTCATTTTAGCTTAACTTCAGCGCATATGGGTGACCAACAAATACGTTCAATCACGGTAGATATTATAAGTCTGTAATAATTTATGTTTCTGTATCTGATTATAGAAAAGATATCTAGGCTCTTATTTTTGAAATAGTTGTGTATACGTAAGTTTTACTATGCAAGTTTAATCATACCATAAAATAACTGCGCAATGAAAATTACGTATACGCAAAAATTTCAAGAATATAGGCCCTGTGCCAATATTTTAAGGTGCGCGCACATTCGTACGCGATTATTAGTACACTGATGTTCATTAATTGAGTCCTTTTTCGGTGTATAGTAGTATCATCTCCAGGCGCGTTCATTTACACTTGTCTACACTTAAAGGACTCAATTAATGAACACCAATGTACCTACTTCGGCGGAGACGGCGTGTGTATATATATATATATATATATATATATATATATATATATATATATATATATATATGTGGTGTGTGTATACATAACCATATACATATACGTACGACTCTCTGGGTTAGTATGTGCATATATTTAACAGTATTGATAGGTCATGTTGTATCGGCGAAACACGATACGCTATATAGTTTTGTATACTTCATGGCTTAACTTTTACTTCAATAAAAAAGAAAAATACTCAAAGAGAACTCGAGATTTATGCACCGTTCAAAATTTTTTGGTTCTCACAGTCAGCGCGATACGACGCTTGATATCCAATGAGCGTATAGCTTTTCTGGAACAGCAGCGTGATTATTGGATATCAAGTGTCGCGTATTGCATTGCGCATCACTACGAGAATTATTTCTCCGGTTTGCAGATTGCGCGTGCGTCGTTGGTGGCGCTTGTTCATTAAAATAGACTTCATTGGTTTGAGGTGTCATCGACTGACAAGCGATATTCTCTGGTCATCAAAGAAAATTATTTTAACAAAGTGAAGCTTCTCACAAAATGGTAAGTCAATAGGGTCTGCTGTGATCTAATACTAAATTCTTTAACTTTGATGTTAGTTTTGCATTTTTTATTTTATATAGGTTATGTGAGAATGCATTGTCATCAAACTTGATATTTCTTTAAGATATTTACACGTTTTCGTAACGATTAATGTTATTTTGCATGTTTATTTTCATAATATATGATTAAGTCACTATATCTGCACAATTTTTTATATATATAATTTATTACCATTCAGCTATATACATTAAATAGCCAAGAAGGGGACTTGGTTTACATTAAACAACTACCTCACACATTCCACACATCCTCCATTCTTTCATCCTTTCCATTCTTCCATACTTTCTATATCTATATCACATTAAATTCTCCTCTCTCTTTCTTCTTTCCTTTACCCCATTTCACTTTATCCTTTTTCTTTTTCTCCTTCTCTTTCTTTCTCTTTGATTTTACCCTCCCTTTCTCTCCACATTCTTTTTAATACTTTCCCTTTAATCTCATCGATTTCATCATCCCATATCCTTTCTTTTCCCCTACCTTCCATACTATCCATCTCCTCGAACCATCTCTTTCCCCACTCACATGTATACATATAATGATACATCTCATCCTGCTCCTTCCCACACATTACACACTTTCTCTCTTCCTCCTCTAACCAATACTTATTTTTTAACTCCAGATTACCGCACCTTAACTTAATAAGCGCTCTCACTTCTCCCCCCGCCTTTGCTCCCATCCTTATCAAACTGCTCTTTTCCAAATACTTATGTCCCTCCCCTATCTTCCTTATATCTTTATACCTTTTATTATACTTTGCCTCCCTAATCTTACTTTCTATCCACTGTTTTTGCACGTCTCTTTCCCTTTTTACTATCTCTCCCTCCATATCCCACCCTCCTTCCATTCCTTCCTTAACTCTTTCTACACCCCATCCATTCCTATTATAATAACTTTCCCTTTCCTTCCAATATAAATCTTTCCCTCCCCTTTCTTCCTTTTCTTTCCAACACTTTTTTATTAGTCTCTCTTCACTACTGTTCCTAATTTTTTCTTCATACCTTTTCGCCCTTATACCCCATCCTATTTTCAATTTTTCCATTCCTAGTTCATACATAATTATATACCTCGGTGTACAGAAATCCAATCTAAAAATCCACCTTACATAATCCATCATGATTCTTTCTAATTTCTCTTTTTCCTCCCACCCCCATACTTCTACACCATACGACATCACACTTTGTACTAGATATCTAAATAATGCCCATCTCCTTACAAAATCATCTCTACATATTCTTTCTCCCAAACCCCAAACCTTGTTCAAAGCTACCCTGCCTTTCTTATACAAATCCCTTATATGTGCCTTATAATTCCCTGCTTGATTAAACGTAAATCCTAAGTACTTAAACTCCTTTACTTCTTCAATCCCTTTATCCTTCCATTTCCATTTTTCTTTCCTCTCCCTACCTTTCCTGTTAAACACCACTATTTTCGTTTTCTCCGTCGATAACTCTAGCCTTCTTTCCTTTAAAAATTTCTTCAACGTGTCCATCATATCTAACATCGCTACCCTGTTCTTTGCTACCAACACAATATCATCCGCATACGCTAAATTTCTTCAACGTGTCCATCATATCTAACATCGCTACCCTGTTCTTTGCTATCAACACAATATCATCCGCATATGCTATATTCCATATTCTATCTTTACCTAATTCTATTCCTCCTACACCTCTCCTTTCCATCATCTTATCTAATTCCGCAATATATATACTAAATAATAACGGGCTCAACGCACACCCTTGTCTCACTCCTTTTTTGGTCCAGAAGCTGTCCGTAAATCCATTCCTTG